GTACCTCGAGTACTGCCGCCTCCGGAGAGGTGCTGCTGGAGCTCGTCCCGGTACTTCCCCTCCTACCCAGGAGCTCCCCCCCATTCAGCAGATCCGCGAGTGGTACACACGGCGCTGCAGTCTTCGGAGTGGTGCTCCTGGTGCTGCGGACCCTGGGGGTGGCGCTGCTACTGGTGCTGAGGACCCGGACGTTGGAGCTGCTGCTGGTGCTGCGGACCCGCCTGGTGGAGCTGCTGCTGGTGCTGAGGACTCGGACGTTGGAGCTGCTGCTGGAGCTGAGGACCCGGGCGGTGGCGCTGCTGCTGGTGCTGAGGACCCGGTCGGTGGAGCTGCTGCTGGTGCTGAGGACTCGGACGGTGGAGCTGCTGCTGGAGCTGAGGACCCGAGCGGTGGCGCTGCTGCTGCTGCTGAGGACCCGGGCGTTGGAGCTACTACTGGTGCTGAGGACCCGGCCGGTGGAGCTGCTGCTGGTGCTGTGGACCCGGACGCTGGAGCTCCTACTGGTCCTGAGGACCCGGCCGCTGGAGTCTCCTCTGCTTCTGGAGACGCTGCGCGGCCGCGACCGTACTTCGTACTGCTCCTTCAGCAGGTTCTTGGGCAGGCTCCTCCTCCTTGTCCTCCTCCCTCCGTAGAGTGTCCTCCGCCTGTCCAGCCACAGTCACAGTTACCGCCTACCTCGCCTCTCCCTGCTCCCTCTCCTTACACTGGTCCCACAGGAGGTCTTACAGAGCGTCGTGAGCCTGAGTCTCGTCCTGCGTCGCCTGTTCGTCCTGCTCGCACTGCTAGTCGTGTCCGTCGTGAGCGTCCTCCTCCTGTCCCAGGCACTCACTACATGACTCTGCGTCCCTCTACTGCTCCTCAGCGTGTCCCTCTACCGTCACCTCCTGCGTCCTCTTTGCCTGACGTTCCGGACCCTGAGTCTGACAGGTATCGTGCTGAGCACCCTACTGTCACGCGTCTCCTCGCTACTGTTGTCACTGACCCTACCTTTGAGTCCTCGGCTGCGTCTGCTCTGGTCGCTGAGTTGGTTGACTTTGCTGCTGCCTGTCGTCTAGACTACGCTGCTAGCCTTGTTGCTGAGTCTGCGTCTGAGTCTGTCTGTCCTCCATCCGTCGGGGGTGAGTGTGCTCTTGGCACGGACGTCCTTGAGGACAGACAGGAGGAGTTCCAGTGTCTTGCTGCTGCTTTGCCCCGTCTCGTGTCCTTGCTAGTTGCCCCTGAGGGAGACCCGGATGCACCAGACATCCCGACCCCGCGCTCTTACGCAGAGGCGATGGCAGGTCCCTACTCCTCTCAGTGGCAGACAGCTATGGACGCAGAGATGGCTTCCTGGAAGTCCACACGCACCTACGTCGACGAGGTTCCCCCTCCTGGGGCGAACATCGTCAGTGGCATGTGGATTTTCAGGGTGAAGCGGCCGCCGGGTTCTCCGCCTGTCTTCAAGGCGCGTTACGTGGCTCGAGGCTTCAGTCAGCGAGAGGGAGTTGACTTCTTCCAGACCTTCTTCCCCACCCCGAAGATGACTACTCTTCGGGTGCTGCTGCACATAGCCGCTCAGCGCGACTACGAGCTTCACTCACTTGACTTCAGCACTGCTTTCTTGCAGGGCAGCCTGCACGAGGAGATCTGGCTGCGCCGCCCACCTGGCTTCACTGGGTCGTTTCCTCCTGGTACCCAGTGGAGGCTTCAGCGGCCGGTCTACGGTCTCCGCCAGGCTCCGCGTGAGTGGCACGACACACTGAGGACTACACTTGCGGCTCTTGGGTTCGCGCCTTCTACAGCTGACCCGTCGCTGTTCCTGCGCACCGACACTTCGCTGCCGCCGTTCTACATCCTCGTGTACGTTGACGACTTGGTCTTTGCCACTGCTGACACTGCAGGACTCGCCTACGTGAAGTCGGAGCTGCAGAGGAGACACACGTGCACAGACCTGGGTGAGCTGACAAGCTATCTTGGCTTGCGGATCACCCGGGACAGAGCACGGCGCACCATCACCTTGACTCAGTCACACATGGTGCAGCAGGTTCTCCAGCGCTTTGGCTTCACGTACTCCTCGCCTCAGTCCACTCCTCTGCCTACCGGTCACTCGCTCTCAGCTCTGCCTTCGGATGAGTCCGTAGAGCCGAGTGGCCCGTATCCAGAGCTTGTGGGCTGCCTCATGTACCTGATGACCTGCACTCGACCTGACCTTGCATACCCTCTTAGCATCCTTGCACGCTATGTCGCTCCTGGCCGTCACAGGAAGGAGCACATGGATGCCGCTAAGAGGGTGTTGCGCTACTTGTGCAGTACGTCGGGCATGGGGCTTGTGCTTGGAGGGCGAGACCGAGTTGTGCTCACAGGGCACTCAGACGCTTCTTGGGCAGACGACCAGGCCACTCAGCGGTCGTCTCAGGGTTACACCTTCAGCCTTGGCTCTGGCTCAGTTTCTTGGCGCTCTACACGCTCTTCTTCTGTTCTCGGCTCCAGTTGCGAGGCTGAGATCTACGCTACAGCCATGGCTGCCCAGGAGCTACGCTGGCTGACCTACCTGCTGACTGACCTCGGAGAGCCGCCTCGTTCTCCTCCAGTACTGTACGTCGACAACAAGGCTGCCATTGCCTTGTGTGAGGAGCACAGACTGGAGCACAGAACGAAGCACATCGCCCTGCGGTACTTCCTTGCTCGAGAGCTGCAGCAGCGCGGTCAGCTTTGTATTCGCTACGTGGCCACTGAGGCCAACACTGCTGATGTGTTCACCAAGGCGCTTCAGCCTCGTGACCATCAGCGCTTCTGCACTCTACTAGGCCTTGTGCCTACTGGACCTCACTTGCTTACCTCTTGACTTTGCTTGTACTGTGATCACTATATATGTCTATACCTGCATGTTTACTCTTGCTAGGTTGTGATCACTGTATCTCTGGCTCTGTTATAAACCTGCATGTGAACTGGTCTTGTGACCACTAGCTTGTGCTCGGAATTTGTGTGGAATCCTCGAGATCCACCCTGAGCTTGTTGTTGCCTTGCTTTGCCTTGACTGGTCTTGTGACCCCTAGGTCTCCCCCACTTTGCCTATGGGGGTGTGTCAAACATTATATATGTTGGGTTTGTTAGGCTACAGTGGGTTAGCCTATATGGGGTACACAATTCTAGGGTTTGCTATTTGTACTGATCTCTCTGTTAGTTCAATCATTCCAGTCTCTTCTTCTGACATGTAGCACTTTCAACACCACCCCGGTCCCCAAGTGTACCTTGCAGACTCTTGCATGATGGGCGCGAGGATGATCTTTATCGCCTCCTGGAACACGCGCGTCTTCTTCGTAGACGATGCCCACTCAGGTGGGAACGGAAGCACCGCCGCCAATGTGTGCCCAGGCTCCACTCCTCGCAATTCCGCCGGAATGTTGATAAGTGAGATCAGCACCGGCCACGCGTTCCTCCTGCCATTCCGTGATGCCTGTGTGCTGTCACTGTATATCAGCACGCCTAAAATGAGTGCATCCTCGTCATTAATCTCCTTCTGCCATGTGCACCACACGTGCCGGTGAGCTGTGGGTAATCGAAAGCATCATACCTGTTGTAATCCACAATTAATGGGCCGAGCCTAAACGCGGCGCGTACCTGGGCTGCGTGCATCCAATCACCCGTCTCCGGTCCTTCAAACACCCTCTCGTTGTTCTTCTTCCGATGAATCTTCCTTGGTTTCCAAACGAACCCCTTCTTCGATGAGAACGTCCGCACCAGCTTCTTCAAAATCTGCGGGCATCGATGTGGAATCAGGCGCGAGTTATGGTAGGTAACGAACAGTGGTCACGGGCGACACTTCATTACGACGTCGCGAGCTGGGGTGGGCTCCTATTACGAACCAGCTCTGTGTCGCGGAAGTGCAGTAGCAGCTTCATTTGCATTCCTTTGGGGCCCCGCACCAATATCTCCTCTGTTTTCCAAGGGATCATGTCGGCGGGAGCGCGCGCCATGCCCCAGCGACGCACGTCCACCCAGTTGCGCCATCGTCTGAGGGCCCGTAGGTTGAAGCGCGGATTGCGGAATATGTGTAGCAGACGGTTAACCTCCCTGTGCGAGAGATCGGCGTCCCTAAAGAAAAGGTACAACTCCGTCAGTGTATCGAAAATCTCCGCCCTCACGCTGTCTTCTGAAGACCCTGCATGTTCGCCCTCAGCTGGTGTATCCTCGTCTCCAACAAGACTGACTTCGGGGATCGAAGCCGTTGGAGCAACAGATATAAAACTGCCATCATTCTCCTTACGCCGGGAGGCCGGCGGTGTGTTAGGTCTGCTCTCTCCGTCGCATGCGAGGGCTTCCAAATATGCAGCTAGCAAAAGACTCTCTCGTTTCCTCTTCAACTCGGCGCGACAAACTGCACCATTAGCGACATGAGACTGTAACCTGCTGTCGTCTTTAAACACCGTCTCGCACACCAGGCAACTGTTGCCCGTCATCCTACAGCCGTGAAACCCTAGGGGGCCGAGCAATCGAAACCCTGTTCAGTACCTCATGTGCACACTAATAAAACTCACAGGAACAACTTATCGCCCACACATGTGCAGGAAGACGATGAAATGTGTGCATGAAACAACGGGTCATTTGTTACACGATAATCAATGTACACCCCAACATGAGGGTTTGCTAATTTCTAAAAGCAGTCTAAAGGGTGCATTTATTTATTGGAAAGAAAAGTATTTATGTCCCGATGTGTCGAGAACCAAGGACTGATTATTTGTACATACAAAACACAACGACCCCAAAGTTGTTCTGCGATTTCACCTGCAATGTCGCGCAATGCACGTGTACACCCACACCTTTTTTACATATCCATAAAAATACAGCAAAACATTGAATAACCGCGTATACCAATACACGATTATCCCATCCCATGGCACAACTGCGGATTCCAAACGATGCTCGGCGCGCCCTAATAACACAACGACCCATGTGCTCCCTACCGCGTACGGGGACATCGGAATGTACAAGAAAATCGGGCCACAACTGGCCAAACCACCATGCACCAGGTTTGGTGACCCACCCAAGCCTCGGACCACATATTCCGAAACCCTCGGCTCATCACACGTGGATCTGCATGTGACCTCACCGTCACATCCGGGTGAGCTGTCCAATCACACCTGGTGCATCGCATGCGATTCTGCGCCAACGGTGTAGATCATTGAGCACGGGCATGCTGTTCGCACCAGCCTATGCGCGAAAGGCATGGGTGACGCCCTGCAGTAGCAGCTTCATTCCGAATGGTGCCACGGTCGCGAGATCCGTGAGTAGCTGTGCTCACCCAGTCATCCCCTCCGTGCTCACCTATGAATCACTCTGCGTCCTCCGAATTGTAGTGAGTGCTCGTTCAGGATGGCGAAACCCAAACAGTTGGTCTCTAAGCGCAACCGGTTCTATGAATCGGAGACTAGCAGCAGCGGCGATGACGAGGACCCCGACCCGCCCGTCACCAGATCTAGGGCGTCGAACAAGGGCGACAATCCTACTGCTCCCTGCCCGCCGACGAAGGACACCGGAAGGGCTTCTAGGTTCGCGTCTCATGTTGTGAACAAGGCGAAGGAGCCCGTGCCGGACGACATGGTGGCCGCTATCGCCCGGAATTATAAGAAGGCAACGTACAGCAACGTGATGCTCATGAATCACCGCGGTGTCGGATGCACGGTGGATAAGGACGACTTCATGTCAATCGAGGACGATCAGTGGATTACAGATGGTGTCATCGACTTCCACAACGTGTAAGTACCGTTATGACGGCCGAACCCTTCACGCGGGGCTTTGCGCGATGGTTACTGATGCCTGTAGCCAGATGTGGTAACATGTACTTGTTCACCTCTTCGCAGGCTGCTTAGCATCAGGAAACCAACACTCCGCAACGGGAAGACATGGGCCGCCATGGACTGCAAGGCTTACACACAGACGAATTCGCAGGGTGCGCCGTTAACGCTTGGGAACGGGCGGCTGCTTCTGGAACACGATTATCTGGCGATCCCGGTGCTAGAATCGTGAGTAACGTGCATAACGTGTTTATCGATGGGTTTATGTCGTGTGCCATGGTAACCTGTCTATCCACTGACACATTTAACACCGCTCATGTTGCGCGCAGTGAGCACTATTCGCTGGTCATCGCAATAAATCCATCGGTGCTCACCAAGTCGCCGAAATCGAAGGGCAAAGAGCGCTTGACGTTGGTATTGATGGACAGCGCGATCAAGCATCGGAATAGCCGCAAGATTTTAGCAGGAACAATGCTGTGAGTATCGGTTTAAACAAGTTCGTATACAGTAGCCTTGCTTGATCTGCATATTAATACCAGTTGACCTGTTGCGTTCAGTGTGCTGTCTGAGCTCGCAAAGGCGAGCTCCCCAAGCGCGAACATGGAGTTTGTGGACCAGACGCTGAAGGAGGCGGACTGTTGCACTTTACGGGTAAGTATGTGACGTTAACCGTGGACACCGATGTGCGGTTTGTACTTGATGGTGTGCATACTGATAAACAATGTGTGCGGTGCCATGTTGGCAGGAGGACAAGCTGCCACAGCAGCCTAACAAGGAGGACTGTGGGATTTTTGTTTGCCAGTACCTCAAGACCCTCGTGAATACCGACTTCGCCACGGTTCTTTCGGGCCTCTGGTTCCAGGGTGTGACACCGCACCAATACAGGCGGGAGATGCGGCGCGACCTGTGTGCACACGCGAGCGGCGCTCTTTTGCAATAGCTGCAGGACATGGGAATTGAGATCCCCCCACAAGACGGAGGCCGGGTTACCGATGAGGGTACAGTGGTGCAGTCGAAGAACGCGGCTGTGGGAGATGGGAGGCCGGCACCGGTCACTCGCCCTGTGGAGGACGCACGGGTTACGGAGGTGATGAGGCGTGTAGCCTCCTTGACTAACGATGTGAGGTACCTGAACGCCACCGTCACCGTGATCGCCAACTTTGTCTGAGGCGGGACGAGGTCGTGTCCGCTGCAACCCAACTGCTGCTGCAGGGCGGTCACCCGGGCACCGGCACGAATGCAGAGGCGGGTGGCAACAAGACTGCGCCTCGCACACCACAGCGTCCGTCTGCCCGTAAGATGCGGGCCGACAGCAGTCCTGAGGAGGATGGCGTGCGCAACGGCACCCGGGTAGCGCTGGCCTCCACGTTCGCTGCATGTGCGCCTGCATCGAGCCTGCTCCCGAACCCGCTGCTCTCCCAAGGTGCCATACCTCACTGGATGTTCACGCGCGGGAGGCAGCTGCTCGGGAACGGTGTGCCACCTGGAGATGCCGCGTGGGGAGACACGCACGGGCAGGAGACGCTGAAGGGCGAAGAGGAGGAGGACCTCGTGTCCGACTCAGACGACGATGGCGAGGACGAGGATACGTGTGCAACCACGTACACGGGTGTGAAGCTGGACAAACGGACTGGCAAGTTCGGCGTCAAGATCTTGATCAAAGAACGTGGAAAGCGTAAGCAGCAGCGCCTGGGAGCATACACCACGGAGGAAGAGGGAGCATGCCGCTGGTGCGTTCGTCCTGAGGCCACGCGACAGGATACCCAACACCGTCACCCTGTCAGCGGCTGAGAAGGCGATGCTGCGGGGATGCACAAAAGAAGATTTGCAAATACTGGTGGAAGCAAGGAAGTGTTGGAGGTGGCGAAGCTGGCGTGACGCGCTGGAGAGCGTGAGCAGCAGGCTGAAAGGAGGGAGGAAGCGTCGCGGTGACACAGGTACATCAAAGAGGCGCAGGGTGGTGGAGAACAACAACACGGCTACCAACGAACCGGCGGCCCCCGAGAATGCAGAGAGTGGGGGGACGGCCCCCTTGTGCAACGGGCACGGCGGAGGTGCAAAGGAAAATGACCAGGAAGAGCGACAGGGAGACAGTGGTGCACAAGAGAAGACGGCAGTCACAGCTGCATAGTGGTTGTGGAGTCAAAGCAGGAGATACTTGTTCGTGCGTGTATTTTAGAACATATGTGTGAACACCTAGCTGATCTTCAATAGTGTGCTATCATGGTTGTATGCATGTGCGATCAATGCTAATGATTGTGATTTCACCACCATGTGCCTCTTTGATGTACGGTTGTGGCCGGGTTGTTTTGTTCTCAGGATGCGTTATCGTGCAGTTGGTGTGCTGGCAGCCGGAAAAGGTGTATGGAGTCCCTGAATACAGGAAACCGGATGTCTATACCAGAGGTAGCACAAACGATGTATATGGATACGGTTGTGTCACCACGATGTGCGCAATGTATGGTTCTGCTGTGGACACCCGTCACCGGTATGATGACGTGTTGTTCACTCATTGGACGTTTTGGATTGCGGTCGTCCAGATGTGCACGAGGTATTCCTGGCTACCAAACTCCTCGAGTAAACGGTGTCGCGGTGTGTTTGGAAGTTGAGCTCCCAACTCTAGGTAGAAAAATGGGTAGCGCGTCACTGTCAAAGCATCTCACTGGATACTTCAATTGCTATAATGGAGACCTCGATGGCTTCCGAGGATACGAGGGCCGGAGGCCGCTCACGTCGTGTCTCGCAACCGCCGGCATACCTGCGTTCGTCATACCAGTTGACGATGCCGCGAGGTCGGCTGTCGAACGGGAAGCGTGGGGCGACCGTTCCCAAGCGCTTGAGCTTGTCCACTAAGGGAAAGGAGGTGGCACATTCAGAGCAAGGTATGCATAACGAGCGTATGTGGATGAGTCCCGACGTGTGCTGCACGCGATGTTGATCTCACCCGTGGAACTACGGAGTAAAGCAAGATGCTAACTAGTGGTGTTGTGCTTCTCTCACCCACAGATGACGGCACGGGTGCAGAGAGTGCAGATTCGTCTGAGCGCAGCGAGGAAGAGGACGAGGAAAGCGAAGACACATCGGCGCCAGGATCACAAGAGGAATCCGCCGACCAGGGCGCTGGAGGGAAGACGCATGACGATGGATGTGCGGGAATATCTGCGGCCAATGCTGACAGGCGCACACATCAAGATGCGCGGGACACGGATGTGTCTCGAGGCGACGGCCGAGGACAGGCGGACGGACTTGTTGGCCGCACACGCGTGAACACCTTGGACGCCAACGGCGATGACGTGCGCATCCCTAGCCGGATCCTCGAGCAACTCATACAGGCGCAGGACAAGAGCGCCAAGGAGAACGCGCGTTTGGAGGCGCTGTTTTTGAATGCGATGTCTCGCCCTTCCGGTGGCTCTGGTAAGCGTAAAGCTCAGAAGCAGAGAGACCCGGGGCAGGGTTGTATGAACCCGAAGCGACAGCGTGGTCTGACGTGGAGTGGCGGGTCCGACGGCGACGGCGAGGATGACGATGACGACACGCATGGTTCTGGTGGCCGTCATATGCGTACCGCGAAGTCTCCTATTCTGCAACGTGCTTTGGAGCATTTGCCGACGGACAAGGCATGGAAGGTGAGCGGGCATGTTACCGTTGGGGCCTTTTTTCCGTTCGTCGTGTTGGGCTGCCATGTGGGTCAGGTGATGGTTACCGGTTTGCACTTATATCATGTTTTGTGTACACCGTATGTGCGCAGAGGGTTTGCGAGCTGGCCAGGGTGCACATGTTTCTCAACAGGCCGACGTCGACGATGACCTTCTACCCGAGCAGCGACGATAAGACTCACGGAGTGTGTGCGGTGCTGGACCGCCTGCCGCATAGCTTCGCCTGTTTGGCGCTGGCGGCTGACAAGTCGCGTCGCGCGGATCTCAACAAGACGCTATCTGAGTGGAAGACAAGGGCTGCCGCACGCGTGCGAGACATTGCACTTCCCAAGCTCGGATTGTTCCGCGACGACAGGGACGCATCCAGCCCATGGGCGCCCGAGAAGGCACGCAGTATCGATAAGATCCGGGAGCGCATTGGTCTTGGCGCTGACCCCCCTGGTGAGTGCATTCTACCACTGCAGAGAGGGTTACCTACGTATGCTTATGCTGACCACCTCGTGGTTGGCGACGGCTGACACTGACAGTGCGCATGTGGTGTGCAGAAACCCTGGTGCTCACGAGCTGGGCGAACGACCGTGACGGCATGCCGTTTGCCTCCCGGGCGTTCGCGACATGCGCGAAGGCTGCATTCAGGCCCAAGAAGGCCGGGCTGGTGATGACACTGAAGGTGTACCACCTGGCCTGGTTGGAGCATGTGGTGAGTCTGTGCGCCCTATGCGAGCCATGTTTTCGAGTTGTACCGCCGCACCATTTGGGTGACACGCTGGGTGGTGGATGCGCAGGTCTCCGACTGCGTCCTCTACTGGGAGGAGAGGAAAGGCCGGCTTTCCAACTCGGCCGGCGGCAACGCACACGTCGTGGACGGCCTCAAGGTCCTGGTGAAGGAGGTCGTGGAGAGGGCGATCAGGATCCGCAACCCGGAGTATGACGCGGAGCGAGAGGCGTGGATCTGGGGGCGCCATGGACTGCGCATCTCTGCGTGCGGCCTGGAGCACATGAAGCCCACCGCCGCAGCTCAGTCCGAAGAGCCTGAGGGGGACGACGACCTCTCGGCGTCAGTTGGTGATGAGTAGGCCGAAGGGCGTGTGAGGGCGTTCAACATTGAGGCGCGCACCGTTGGTGGGACAGGTGGCTGGTGTCGTGGAAGGCAGCATTATCGGTTCCGTGTCAGGGGTTTGCGCAAGAGTTTTAGTGGGCACTGGATGTTGCATATGTGGGCTGCGAAGCTAGTGGGGTTATTTATATGCATGGTTACGTTGTATGCTTGTGTGTGTGTGAGTTGTTAATGGGAGAAGTATTCATTGGGGTATATGCGCATTTGACCGTACAACAAGGATACCCGTCGGTAGCGAAACACCGCGAGAATACCGTCAACCAGGTGTTTCGTTTGGCGCGGACCGCGCCGCAATTTGCGGCGCCTTTCACGGAACGTGACAGGTGTCACGGTAATGTGTGGACGTAGAAGCACCCGCGGGGCGCAAGCGTGGACATATGAGTGGATACAATGGATAAGATATGATGTCCCACCAATTGCATACAATGGTTGCACGCGCTCAAGTACGCGTGTCACCGCACGGAGCGAACGCCGCGTCGAGGTTAACGGGGGGAACGCAATGTGATATGCGGTTAGAGTGCGACTGATGTTCGGTTGTGATTGATTAGCGAAGACGTCGCGAATGCGAGCCACGATGAGATGGTTTAGGGTAACTGTATGTGCGAGTCCACGATCGCACGGCAAGTGTACGGGGTAGATCGATTATTTATGCGTGACGTGTCAGCACGGTGGTGGATACGATGTACACGGATGGACGATGCAGATGGCGTCGACAGGTAGTCGCGCGTGCGTTACTACTGGTTTGCGAACGAGCTGGCGAAGTGTACGATACGGGGGCGACGCGACAGGTGTACGGTGACTGTGCAATGTAGTGCAGGGTGCGGACGGGGAATGCGCAAGTGTAGTGAGGCCACGTGGTAGCATGCTAGTGGGTATCACCGGCGTGGTTTGCGGTTAGCGCCCCTGTGGGTTGCCTACAACTGTCATCTGTGTACTGGATGTGCGTCCATCAGATGTACGGTGCAGAGCCGCGCGCGATGTTGGCGCGAGCATGTGCGAGTTAGTGTTCGCGAAGTCGTAACATGATGTGCGAATTTATGTGCAGGCGACACGTGAACCATTGAGATTGCGTGACCCTAGTGTTCATCCAACGGTTGGGGTGCGGGTACGTTTTGGTGCATGTACGCTGACGTGGCCATGCGGGTTGAAACAGGGTGCCACGTGGGTGTGCGCGTACGGAGTGGCAGTTGGGGTTGCGTACTCGTAGCTTTCTAGTCGATTGGCATAGTATGGTTAGGTAAACTTTTGTGTGGCGCAACCCGTTACTGTTTAGCAACTGCCCAGATGCGGGTGCAGTGGCTAATCTGATGCACGCATATGTACAGAATGTCGCGGGAAAGTGGACTCAAAGTTGCTTTGTAAGTGACTGTCGCCATGCAGATCTAAAACCTTGACTCAAAAGTGCCGTGAAAAAAATATCGGGAATGTTGAGTAAAAGTTTCTTGCGATTTGCTTTTCGAGCTTTCCTTTTTCGCGATGTTGGCGCGCGCCTACCTTTTTTTCTGTAGTACTCTCAGACGCTTAAACTCCAAAATTGCTTTCCGGCTAAAGAGAAGCGTCCACTTGCGTGTACAGCGCTCGTCACAAATTTGGTCTGAAGGCCTGAGAACTAGTATTAGAGAGAGCAGGAAATAACACATCATGGATCCATGAAGACAATAAAAACGTCAAAGCATGGAGACAAGGTGGCCCAAGTTTGTTGGGCTAGCAAGCAGGGGAGTGAGCGAACAACCACATTGTTGCGAAAGAACTGGCGAGCTGGTGACAGCAATTTCGCGGACGGAAAATTGGAGGCTCACGACTCTAGGAAGTCAGCTACCATGCGAATGGATTCGTGGTGATGACAGCATGGTAGGGTTGGCTTGTGAGGAAATGTTTGCGGGAGCAGACCGATGGCTGGAATTGGTGACTGAGGACGCGTCCCCTCTGGCTCAATCCTGCTAAAAATCGATCTTCCACCGTACTGAAACCTTGATTAGCGCTTCTAAAACTTTCCGAAACTTCTCTAACCCCGCCAAAAATCGATCCTGCGAGCCAAAAATCGCACGATCGGTGCTAGAGGTGACGCGTCCTGACATTGATGAGCTGGCATACTGATGACGATGCCGAGACACAGTTGACGAGCTTGACGGTGAGAGTGCAGCGACCTGAATTGACTGAAATAGTGAACACTTTTCTCGCTCGAACAAGAGAATGTGTATAGAGAAAACGTTTTGGATGAACACTTTTCCAGCTGTGAAAGCCAGCTGTGTTGTGTGTCGTCAAAAGCGATGGTTACCAGGATTAGAAGATCGCCGGTTATTGTGTTGTGTTACCATCGTTATTTTCGCCGGTTTGACGAACAAATTCAAGAAACCACAACGTTGCAAGTCTACAATGATCGTAGAGCCGCTCGCCCACCTGCGAAATTGCTCCTAGCAGATTCCTGACGGGGTGGAACAATGGTCTTCTCGTGACAATTATCGTCGAGCCAATCGTCTTCACCTACTTCCACTCACAAACTGAGTTATGAACATTCTGGTCGCATCGCCAAGCACATATTTCGTGAAAGGAACACAATTATTGCCCTTCCACAACACATCCCTCATCTCCAGCGCTTTCGAGGGGAGGAGATTCACAAGAGCGACTCGAAGCCCCTCTTCGCTTCCAACCCCACGACTATATTTTTCCCCAAGTCGTATGTCCCTATCATCATCGAAAATCGACCACTGCCCTCCAAGCGTCCAGTGTTACTAATTAAGCCAGCTTGCTAAGTTTGCTTTGCAGACCTGGCTGTTTCAAGTTGTAACGGAAAGCTCTCGCAAGCTCTCAGGGATTCCTTTCTCTCTGCTTCTTTTTTCCGATGGCTCTCTTTTCCAAGGTCGGCGATCTTCTGTGCGTGGGAATCGTCCTGTTCGCTTTCACCCTCTCTCCTGCTGATGCCATCCAAGCCACCCGCGCCGATCTGAACCGCGAGGGCACGTGCTACTGGGGCCAATTCAGCTACGCCGACAGTCCCTATTTCGACAAGGGCATGGTCGCGCAGGTGCCTGCGAGCAATTTCAACAGCGGCAAGGGTTGCGGATCGTGTTACCAAGTTACCTGCAAGAACAGCCCAGGCTGCACCAAGGGCAGCGTGATGGTCCGTGCGGTCGGCGTGAGCGGCATTTTCAACCTCAACTTTCCCGCATGGGACAAAATCGTCAAGGACCGTAACGTGGGTAACGTGGAGATTGATTACCGCAGCGTGGACTGCCCTAACAGCCGCACCATGGCTGTTCGTATCGAGGACAAAAGCAACGCGTACAATTTCGTCATTCAGATTCTCGGCGCGGCTAAGGGCGGAGGCGTGGAGAAGCTGGAAATATCGAACGACGGGAAGCAGTGGAAGAGCATGACGAACAACGGATGGGGCGCGACGTGGGTGCTGAATCCCGCCAAGGACGTCGTGGATAAGGGGCGCAAGCTGAGCGTGCGCGTGACGGCGGCGGGCGGCGGACAGCAGGTGGTGCTGCAAGATGTGATTCCGACCAAGTGGGAGCGCCGGGAAGACCTACGAGAGCGGTACCAACTTTTAACGAGATGGGTTGCATCGTCTCGTGAAGAAGGTTGCTAGTAATGGGATGCGCTGTAACGAGGTCGTGTGCGGCACAAGAGTGCTCCCTAATATTGCAGCCACCCTGGCATGGTGGTGTGCAGCGCAGTGAATAAAAGCCCGGCCGGTGTCCGGATGGGTATTAGGCGATGCAATATGATGAGACGAGCGGTGCTATGCAATGCTATGCAAGATGTAATTGCTCATTCCGCTGTCCAGCTTAGTACAACCAGAGTTTCAATCTATGAAGAGGGTTCGTTAAACGGTATCAACTAAATCCAACTTCTGTTGTGGTAAGAAAAGCAAAAGGCTCAAATGTACTGCAGCCTTCATTGCTGGTGCTTGCTGTGCTGCAGTGTTAGAATCTGGCAGCAGGAATGATGAACTAACAGCATGCAGGAGTACAAGTAGGAAACCCTAATTTGGTTGTACCCCATATGGGCTACCCCACTACAGCCTAGACAATATGCAGCATATATGTTTGACACACCCCCATAGGCAAAGTGGGGGAGAACAAGGGGTCACACGACCAGTCAAGAGACGCAAAGCAAGCTCAGGGTGGATCTCAACGTCACCACACATTCTGAGCACAAGCAAAGGGCCGCAAGGCCAGTCCACATGCAGAGATATATATAAGCAACAAGAGCAGTACAGTGATCAATACCTAGCAAGAGCAAGCATGCAGGTATAAATATAGAGCACAGTACACACAAAAGACTACAGCAAGTGTGGAAACGTAGGCACAAGGCCTAACAAAGTACAAAAGCGCTGATGATCACCAGACGGAAGTGCCTTGGTGAATATATCAGCAGTGTTGGCCCTAGTGGCCACGTGTGCAAGACGAAGCTGACCACGCTGCTGCAGCTCTCGAGCCAGAAAGTACCGCAGAGCGATGTGCTTCATTCTGTGCTCCAGTCTGTGCTCCTCACACAAGGCAATGGCAGCCTTGTTGTCGACGTACAGCACTGGAGGAGAACGAGGCCGCTCTCCCAGGTCGGTCAGCAGGTAGGTGAGCCAGCGTAACTCCTGAGCAGCCATGGCGGTGGCGTAGATCTCAGCCTCACAACTGGAGCTGAGAACAGAAGACGAGCGAGTAGAATGCCAAGAAACAGAACCAGAGCCAAGGCTGAAAGTGTAACCCTGTGACGACCGCTGTGTAGCCTGGTCGTCAACCCAAGAAGCGTCTGAGTGCCCAGTGAGGACCACCTCTCGCCGTCCTCCAAGCACGAGCCCCATGCCCGATGTACTGCACAAGTAGCGCAGTACCCTCTTCGCAGCATCCCAGTGCACCTTTCGGTGCCGACCAGGAGCCACGTAGCGAGCCAGAAGGCCAAGAGGGTACGCAAGGTCAGGACGAGTGCAAGTCATCAGGTACATGAGGCAGCCCACTAGCTCTGGGTAAGGACCACTCGGCTCTACGGACTCATCCGAAGGCAGAGCTGAGAGCGAGTGACCTATAGCCAGAGGAGTGGCCTGTGCTGAGGACCAGGTGAAGCCGAAGCGCTGAAGGACCTGCTGCACCATGTGTGACTGAGACAGTGTGATGGTGCGGCGTGCTCGGTCCCGGGTGATCTGCAAGCCAAGGTAGCTGCGCAGCTCACCCAGGTCTGTGCACGTGTGTCTCTTCTGCAGCTCGGACTTCACCAGGGCGAGGGCCTCAGTGTCAGCAGTAGCAAAGACCAAGTCGTCGACGTACACGAGGATATAGAACGGCGGCAGCGAAGTGTCGGTGCGTAGAAACAGTGAGAGTCATCAGTCGAAGGTGCAAACCCAAGAGCCGCAAGGGTAGTCCTCAGTGTGTCGTGCCACTCACGGGGTGCCTGGCGGAGACCGTAGACTGGCCGGCGGAGGCTCCACTGGGTACCAGGAGGGAACGTCCCAGTGAAGCCAGGTGGGCGGCGCAGCCAGATCTCCTCGTGCAGGCTGCCCTGTAGGAAAGCTGTGCTGAAGTCAAGGGAGTGAAGCTCGTAGTCACGCTGAGCGGCAACGTGCAGCAGCACCCGAAGAGTAGTCATCTTCGGGGTAGGGGAGAAGGTCTGGAAGAAGTCAACTCCCTCTCGCTGACTGAAGCCTCGAGCAACGTAACGCGCCTTGAAGACAGGCGGAGAACCTGACGGCCGCTTCACCCTGAAAATCCACATGCCATCGACGATGTTCGCCCCGGGAGGGGGAACCTCATCGACGTAAGTGCTTGTGGACTTCCAGGATGCCATCTCTGCGTCCATGGCTGCCTGCCACTGAGAGGAGTAGGGACCCGCGATCGCCTCAGCGTAAGAGCGCGGTGTGGGGATGTCAAGTGCATCCGGGTCTCCCTCAGGGGCAAGCAGCATGGCCACGAGATGAGGCGCAGCGGCTGCAAGACACTCAAGGTCCTCGTGCCTGTCCTCAAGGACGTCCGTGCCAAGGGCACACTCACCCCCGACGGACGGAGGACAGACAGACTCAGACTCAGCAACAAGACTAGCAGCGTAGTCTAGACGACAGGCAGCAACAAAGTCAACAAGCTCAGCGACCAGGGCAGACGCAGCAGTAGACTCAAACGACGGGTCAGTGACAACAGTGGCTAGCAGACGCGTGACAGTAGGGTGCTCAGCACGAAACCGGTCAGACTCAGGGTCTGCGACGTCAGGCAAAGAGGACGCAGGGGGAGACGGAAGAGGAGTACGCTCCGGAGTAGGGGACCGACGCAGGGCTACAAGGCGTGTGCCGGGGACAGCCGGCTGACGCGGACGAGGAACACGACGACCGGTACGACTAGGACGAACAGGCGAGACAGGACGCGACGCAGGCTCACGACGCTCAGCAAGACTACCTGTCTGCTCAGTGTAAGGAGAAGGAGCAGGCAGCGGTGAGCCAGGCTGTAACGGAAGACCAGTAGACGACGGGAGAGTAAGAACCTGACGAAGAACAGAGTCAGGCGGCGGCAGAGACGACGGAGACGGCGGAGCGAAGAACAGTTGTGGCGGCGCAGCAGCACTAGTACCGGTAGCTCCAGCAGCTCCAGTACCTCCAGCAGCTCCAGCACCTCCAGCAGCTCCAGAAGCTCCAGCAGCAGAACCGACACCTCCAGGCCCAGGGTCTCCAACCCCAGTGCCTCCAGCAGCAGCACCCCCAGAACCAGCACCTCCAGTCCCAGGGTCTCTAGCCTCAGTGTCTCCAGCAGCAGCACCCCCAGAACCAGCACCTCCAGTCCCAGGGTCTCCAGCCTCAATGTCTCCAGCAGTAGCACCCCCAGAACCAGCACCTCCAGTCCCAGGGTCTCCAGCCTCGGTGTCTCCAGCAGCAGCACCTCCAGACGCAGCACCCCCAGCCCCAGCAGCTCCAGTACCTCCAGTACGAGCACCTCCGGGACCAGCGACTCCAGCACCTCCAGTAGACAAAGTACCAGCACCACTCCTAGCTCCAGGGACGTCAGCAGAAGTACCTCCAGCAGCAGAGCCCCGGGCTCCAGCAGCGCGACCCTGACGGCGACCGTACCAGTCGTGCAGCTGCTGCGAGGTGAGAGGCACACGTGGACGAAGGCGGCTACTCCAAGGAGACCGCGCAACAGCAGACTCTGAACCCTCAGCGCCAGCACCCTCAGCAGCTCCAGCGCCACCAGCACCAGGACCTCCAGCAGCTCCAGAACCTCCAGCGCTCGCACCCTCAGCAGCCCCAGAACCACCAGCTCCAGCGCCACCAGCACCAGGACCTCCAGCAGCTCCAGAACCTCCAGCGCCCGCACCCTCAGCAGCCCCAGAACCACCAGCTCCAGCACCTCCAGACCCCTCACACGCAGGCTCAGCACCTCCAGGCTCCACACTCTCAAGCTCCGCACCCCAAGGCTCAGCACCCCCAGAAGTAGCACCCCGAGCAGGACCACCCCCAGTAGGACCTGAGTCACCAGTGACCTCGACCGGCGCAGGGAAGGGAGGAGGGTCTACCTGAGACACACCTGAAGGAGCAGGACCGGGAGCGGGGAGGGGGTCTACCTGGGGAGCACCTGGAGCGAGGAAGAGCGGCGGAGGGGGGAGAGGGGCAGTGCTGTAGGGGAAGAGACGGTAAAAGGGAACCGACTCATCGAACGTGACGTCCTGAGACGCAAAGACACGGCACGAGGTGGGGTGGTAAAACTGCCAACCAGGCGCGTCAGGGACAAAGCCAAGGAAGACACAGGGAACAGCACGGGCGGAGAGCTTGTCCGCGATGGTATCGCGGACAAAGGCACGAGCACCCCAGACCCGGAAACGCGACGCATCGCCAACCTTCCCCGTCCATAGCAGCGTGGGCGAGGTCTCCGGCAAGGAGACACGGGGCCAGAGGTTGAGCTGATGCGCGGCGTACCGGACCGCAAACGGCCACAGAAAATGGGGGGCAGCCGCATGGATCATGGAGGTACGAGCGACCTCCATGACTAAGCCAATGCGGCGCTCAGCAACCCCATTCTGCTGCGGAGAGGCCGGAAGCGTGAACGACTGGGTGATGCTGTGCTCCGCACAGAAGGCTGCCAAGAGGTCTGAGGAGAACTCACCACCTCTGTCAGAGTGCAGACGCAGGACGGGAAACTCCGTCCCGAACCGCTCGCGGAGCTGGAGACGGGCAGCGCGGATCCAAGGGATCAAAACAGCAGGGACCTCCCCCTTGCTGCGCAGGGGAAAGACCGTGGTGTAGCGCGTGTAGTCGTCAACAACCAGCAGGAAGTACCGCTCGTGGCCCTGTCCACGGACGCGGGCTGGGCCCCACACGTCCAGGTGGAGAGTCTGCAGGGGAGCCTCTGTGGGAGGGAACGAGGAGGAGTGAGGAGCAGCGCGCTGCCGCCCCTCGACGCAAGGAATGCAGGGCGGCGCAAGCGAGGGAGGCAGGGCAGGCAAAGACCTGGGCAGACCAGAAACCAGGAAGCGAGAGTGCATGCCACGAAGGCGCTGCACCGAGGGGTGACCAAGGCGGTGGTGCCACAGGAGGGTCTGGTGCGACAAAGCGCGACACTCGCAGGGGGCCGTCGGCTGACCTGACGCAGACGCAGACGCAGACGCAGCTACCTG